ATTATATATATATATATTTGGTGGAACCGGGGATTGAATTCAGGCCCTTGCGTTTGGCAGGTTATCCACCACCAAGGTTCTGTCTTTATTGATCACTTTGTTCACAATTACATGCGTTTTGACTTATTCATCTGCCATCCACATCCCTACTGAGATATAAAACATTGTCATCAGTGGAGAAAATTCTCACAATTCTACTTTTGTGCTTTGAGACAGGGTCTCGCTATGTAGTCCAGGATAGTCTCGAACTCAGCAACCCTCCTGTTTCAGCCCCTGAATGCTGGGATCAAGGGCATGCTCTTCCATGTCTGGCTCTACTTTTGACCAGTGCGCATGTTGAAGCTATCTTAGAGACATTGCAGGAGTCCATGTCTTATTTTGAAAATGTTTCTAAGGCTATGTACCATACCCTTCAAGTGAGATCATCCAACAGTGTAGTGGGGAGTCTGCAGAGATGAGGGTGTGCGTGTGTGTTTCAGTGCTGGAGACTGAACCCAGAGCCTCTGCACTGACCTAAACTTCCAGTCTTTTTGGTCTTGCTAAATTGTCCAGACTGCTTTCACTTGTGATTCTCCTGCCTGGGCCTTCCAGAGTGCAAGGATTATGGGTGTGTACCACCATACATGGTTTAGGATTAGATTGTTTTGTTTTATTTGTTGCCCTGCTGGGGATTAAACTCAGGGGCTGGTAGATGCTAGTAAGCTGCTTCTCCATTGAGCCACGATCTATTTACCTTATCTTTGCGTTTGTTTTGTAGCAATCCCACATTCTGAATCAGCACAATTTCTTAGGCAGGCAGGCAGGCAGGCAGGCAGGCAGGCAGGCAGGCGGACAGCAGGCAACTACAGAAAAATGTAGCAATTTCTGCAGCCCTTATGAGATCCACTTGGACTGGAAATACCATCTTCAGTCTATAGTATTTGTCCACTTTAAGGGCAACCTGTTAGTCAGACACTAAACAGGGTCACTCTGCCAGCAAGAGCCGGAGAGACACATTCAGCATCCGATGGCTTTCCTGGGTGTGGAGATTGTGTTCCCAGGCTGAGAAACTCTCAGTGCGATCAGAAAATTGTAAGCATATATCTTTTTTCAAAATCAGAATCTCCTTCTAGGACCCCTGAGCGCCCACAATGAATGAATATACAGGCTGGGTTAGGGATGTGGAGACACAGTGAAGTATTTTACATATTTTCAAGAAACAAGGTTCGAATGTCAAAAATAAAAAAGGTTCATTTGTCAAAAATCTTGATTAGGAACTGTAGTTCACTTTCAAAATTCACCCGCTTACTCCATTTCTTTTCCTCAGAGTTGGGTTTTCAACAAGTGGTAAAACCACACAAAAATCAGCGAAAAGAAGGAAATGAGGGCAGTGGCA